GTGCATCAAAATAAACTATTTCCAGCAGTGAAGTTTGAGTTCTAAGTATCCCAGAAACTATTCAGAAAAGCATAAAGTCAAACATGACTTATAAAAACACCAGTATAGGCTTTTAAGGCCTACAAGTAAAAAAACTACATTTTCCGCAAAATGACGTCACTTCCAGTTTCGGGCAGGAAATGGCGGACATGCGATCGTTTGCACTGACGTCTGTTTCAATGTAGGAAGTGTTACGAACAGCTGATCAGATCAGCAAAGCCTGTTTCTGGAATATTATGTTTTTGTTCCTGCAAGAGCTTTTTATGCAGTTTTTGCAAAGCTTTATGTGGAAGGAAACCGTGACCGAGGACAAGCTGATGGCATCAGATGTAAGTACAACTCCTCCGGTTTCATATGCAAAAAAAATCATTGCGCTAGCTTACAGGGTTCAGGTTCTACAGGGATTTAAAAATAGTTACGCAAAACGGAGCGTGCTGCTCCGACCGGCTTTAAAGGGTTAAGGGGCATCCAATGTCTGCACAAACATCAACAAACACAGAGAAAGAGTGAGAGACAACTTCAGTCAGAAATAAAGCTGAGAAAGACAGGAGAGGAGAGGAAGAAGAGAGGTTGGATTTAAAGGTAAGGACGGCTCAGTAACTGACAAATTTAAGACATTTTGTCTTATAGCTTGTGAAACATCTGCTTACATCTTGTTGAAATCAGTTTTGTAAATCCACACAGAGCAGCAGACCAGCTAATCACAGCCTGTACACAAAGGAAATCTACTGAAACTCACATTAGAAATGACTGTGAGCTGTGACTCTTTTCCCTGTGCTGAGCCACAGCACATGCTGTATCTCACGTTGACCCCTGACAGTACTCATGTGTGAAGTCATCCTCTTGATTCAGTAATTTGACTTTTACCGGAGTATTTTTACAAGTATCTGCGCTTCTACTTAAATACAGAACGTCTGTACTTTTTCACCTCTGTCTGACCCAGAGTCAGATTTAAACTAGTCCCAAATTTCTAGGAGATGCACCTGTGACATAACTATGAAAATCCTTCATTCTCGAGTTACGGCGTTCACAAACTTGGCTGCCTTCTGACCATTGTTGATGCAGTTTCATGAATCCACAGCTTGATCAAGCCCAGTGACAGAAGCACCATACACCTACAGCACTCAAAGGATCTGCGCCCAGCATCCTGTGCCAGACCATAGACACCAACACTGGTACCCTGCCTGGTAGGACTCCTGGTCGATAGTAATTAATATTATACAGCTGGTTTTAATGTTGTGGCTGGTCTGTGCATTAACGCTACCCAGGCTGATGTTGTACCTCCTGAGGAAGCTCAAGTTTGGAGCGGTCAGTGCCCTCTTTGGACTGCAGGCCCATCAGGTAGGGAACAGGTGCATCTAGGAAATGAAGGAGGGAGGCTGGCAGGATGGGAACATAGACGTGCTGCCACTGGAAGGGAAATAGGAGGGTGGTGATGCCCTCTGCCACTGTCATCAACCGCTGGTAGTCTGAGAAACACAGAGAAAGAAGTGTGATGTGAGACAAGAGCATTACAGCAACACGTAGTTTCATGTCAGTTGTAAAATTGCACTCTGATGATCCTAAATTCACGCTTAGCTCCACCAAGCACCACACAAGCACTGCTACAGTGTCTTGCAGGCTGGATCTAATATTGAGTTCAGCAGCAGTTCAATCAGATTTCATCATTATGGCCTGAGTGAAAAGTCCACTTGGAGGAAACATAACTAAGGTTTCATGAATTCATCATCCTCTCCTCTCCCATGGTCCTCTCCCCCTGGCTCAGCCAGCATCTCCCGATCTGTATGTGCACCTTCACTGAAGGTTTCCAAAGTCTTAACCACAGTCTGCGTGTCGGAGATACAGCTGGTTCACTTATCGGAAAACGTCCGTTTCTAGAAGCAGAATGTATTTACAATTGTGTTTAAATGTCTATAAACACACACACACACACACACACACACACGGAAAAAATTATAAGCACAGCTGCTCTAGGTAAGTGTGTAAAATACATGTTAGAATAAATGTCACACACTCAAATAAAAAGTGAGGCAAAATGTCTTTTTCTTTTGTGTTCGGAGAATTAGGGATGTCTAAAGAACCAATACGTGTGATTCCTCTCAAAGGCAAATTTTGGAATCTGCAATAGTACTTGATGTTTTTTTTACTAAGGTAAATACCACAGGCAGAAAACCAAGGGTGCAATTGTTCTGAAACTAAAGGGGGCAGCATATACACGTATTCTAGTCTATTCTTAAATAAAGAAGAAGAAGAACGGCAGCTAGGAGCACAGGAGGGAGGCAGAGCCTTCAGTTTCCAGGCCCCTCTTCTGTGGAACCAGCTTCTGCAATTCTGCAATGGCAACTGATGTTAAAGACTCATGACCAATTATCACAAAGGCTTGATTAGGTTTACAAGGAAATTACTTTTTCAAACAGCATCAAGTGGGTCAGGATCAGTCATTATTTAAAAAGTGCATTTTGTATTTACTTAAGCTTTGTTTAAGATTCAAATTTGTTTGATGATCTAAAACATAAAGTTGTGACAAATATGCCAAAAGAAGTAATCAGGAAGAGGGCAAACACTTTTCCCATCTTCATCGTCATTAAGAACCTCCACAGGCAGAGTTGCTAGAAGTTACTAAAGCTGCTACCACAGCAGACACTTGTGTATGTTAAAGCTCTCGTGGTATTCAAAGCCCCTCGTACACATCATGGTACTGGGCACTATTGGCATACGGGGCCATATGGTACGGAGTAAAATGTGGGGCTAAGTTGGCGCAGTGCTCAGGTTTGGGCCTACTTTTTAAACTGCATTATAACACATATATGAAGATTAGCTTTCATGCAAATCTAAAATAACTGCACTTAATCAAAGCACGATTTACAGGTTGGCTGTAGCTCAGGAAGTTGAGCTACTACTAATCAGAAGACTGGTGGTTTGATCCCAGTCTGCTCCAGTCTGCAGACGGGGATTGCCTTTGGCAATATTAACCCCAAGTTGCTCTCCGATCCATCCGAGGCGAGTGTTAAATTTAGGGGTGAATGAGGCATAAGGACGCATTCTCAAAGTGAAAATCTGAGTAATTAATAAATGTTTTTGTGGGAAAGAGACAAGCCAGGTTTTGAAGCTCCTACCTGTAGGCGTGTGAGCATGTTTTTCATATGTCTGTACATGTTCAAAGTTTCTCCTTTGTGTGGGAAACACAGCAAGCAAATCTCACAGAAACACTCCTGTTTCTTAATGTTGCAGCATGTCTCATCCTATTTGTTCTCTTTAGCTTTAAAATAACAAGTTCAGCTGTTCTACTTTAGTCATCAACACTTGCTGTTCTAATCTGACTTAAGTGGTGAGGTGCAGTATCTCATAAATTCCCTCCTCTTCCCTTTACTCACACTGACAGACTTTAAACTTGCTAACTCGAGGCACCTTCAGATATATTTTGGAAAGCCCCAGCAGTGACAGGGCTCAGGGATGCTGTTGTTGTTATAGAACTGAAAAACAAGACGAAACAGGTCGAGTCATTGTGAAACTGTAACGGTGCATTAGGGCCTGATAAAGACCAGCAGCTCAGTCTCACAAGGCAAGAAGTGAGCGAGTCTGTGGTAAACAGCTGTTACTGTCAGGAAGCAAGTTGTCATCCCATGACAAGTCAAACACGCTGATTAATCACACTGTGTGAAAACGCTGGCCGACTGCTCTGGATAAACGCATACGATGCACCTTAAACAGCAAACAGACTAACAGTTCTTGTGAAGGTCAGGACAGGAAATGACATTTGCATCAGTGCAGTGTTAGCGCACACAGGCACCTGGCTCTGTCTGATGCTTTTTAAGCAGTTCAGGCAATTTCTGTATATAGAGAATAACTGCAGACAGATTCTTAAGGTGTATCTACAAAACACCTGTGAATCTCCTGCAGTGGTCCCATCAACAGCCAGTGAGGTCAGTGGTTCCATCTTTGGCCTGTGATTGATCCACCGACCTTCTGCTGCTGGAAGTTTGAGGTCTAACTTTTAGCATCTACACATTTTTTCTTTCTTTGAGTGGTTGCCAAAGTCAGAGACTCTGAGTAGGAATGTGAACATTATTAAACACTTTCACTGCATGTGACGAATAAAGAATCTTGACTAATCCTTCCGTTCTCTAACTGCATGTCTTTGGACTGTGAGAGGAAGCTGGACCCCTGATAGTGGAATTGAACTCAGGATCTTCTTGCTGTGAGCCGACAGTGCTAACCGCCATGCCACAGTGCTTAATAATAACTGCTAGCTTATTATTAACACAATCAATAACGACACGGCAGGACAGCAGCTCATTAACGTGTAGCACTGGTCCATGTTTCCCTGCCTACAGCGCCATTACATATGAAGTTGGTATATTTCTGTACGCACATAATTACTCAACTTTTTTTGATCACTCGTGTTTGTGTAATCTGTGCAGAATGTAAAAAGACGAGGAATATGCTCATTTTGAATCAGTTTGTATTATTGAGTATTATTGTGGATTTTCAAAGAAAGTAATTGCAGAAACCGGCCTAATTCATGATTCCATATCCTTGATTTTAAACTTGTGGCAGAAACAAAAGTACCTATAAGCATATTAAACTTAAGCTAACATTAAATGTAGCAGTTCAACTGCAGCTTAAACACACAGTCTTTCTGGAATTTGCACTCGTGAATTTGTATTCTGTAAGAAAGTTTGTTGACCTAAATTGGCTTTGACGGTAACCTCAGAACATGCTGAAACAAGGAAATCACGTTGACATATGCCAAGAATGTGATTACAGTTATAGTGTCTTCATGACTGCACAGATGAAAAGGTTTTTATTTGCCTTTAATTTGGAGCAAAAGCTTCAGTGCATGTTAAAGTCTGACATCATTAAATCAGTCGGTTAAGCACACCGTCTTTGCAGCTATTAATGTTTTATCATATATGTCATTTGACACTTTAATATAATTTTTTTTGTAATGCAAACATTTTAAATGCAAACCTCACGTTCTCGCAGTCGCAGCAAATCTCCTTTGCAGAATAAATGTGACTTGGAAGGGCCACAAGAATCATCTTTACTAACAAGCTCACACTAAAATGTGTTGAAAAACCTTTTCTTTACTAAGAACAATACACAGTGAGGTGCGTGATCAGATCCAGAGAGTAAAGATGCCAGAACAATGGAACCAGACAAGATTTTACAGACAAGGATCACTGGGACAACTTTGACATCTATAGTGAGGGAGTCGAGTTTTTGGTCACTCTCATTGATGCCCACTTCAATTGCTTGCCTCAAAGTTGAGAAGTTAAATGTCCCTCTTTCAGCAGAGTTTGTTCTGTCTGGACAGATAACTCCTTACGGCATTTATCAGATTGAATCAAACATGACTCACAAACTAAAAAAGGGTTTTCCTCTTCATCGAGCGATTTCTACGTGCCTACAGAGAACCTGGACCTCCTACAGGTAGTTCCTGATGGTTGTTATGAATGCCGCCTTTAAAACTGGCGTTTTTTGATTTGGAGTTGAAGGTCTGGTGTATGAGCTAACAGCTTCTTTTTGCATGACTCATCATGCACAGAAGCTAAACAAGCTGCAGAGAGAGTGCTGAAGCTGCACTGAAACTGCAGAAGAGTATGACTGAGGAATGTAGGACAAATAATGATCTCAGTCTACACACTAGATTCTCTGCATTTGGCTCTAATACTCTAACACAGTGAGGAACGCACACACTGCGTCTCACTGCAGCTGTCAATAATAAATGAAAGGAATCCTAGAAGCAGGAAAATCTGATCACTGTGTATCTGAGTGTGATATGCACATAAAGCCTCATTACAGTGTTCTCTGTTTTCATCTGAGTTTTTACTTTACAAGTTTCTAATGCTTCTCCGCTTCAAAGTATAGAAAACAGGAACAGTATGTTTGAAACAAATTTTCTCCACAGACATCCACAACTTCTGGCAACCAGACAGAAAGCCTTACAATAGCTTCCAGTGGCTAAAAGGCCTCAAAGTAAGAAACGACGTCATAGCATAATAGAGTGAAGACAAAAATGTATCCACTGAAACCTCTGAAGTTGATTAATTGAATTTGATTTCATTTTTTTCTCAAAGATATTTTTATTGAGGTTAACCAAACAGAATACACACACATTAATAACAAGCACAATAAAAAAGAAAACATCGCAGAGGATGTGAAAGGGGGAAAAAGCATATTGCAATGAGGTCTTAGATTCTAAGAAAGAACAGAGCTAAACTTAGTTATTGTTAAGGTGGCAGTTAAATAGAGAAATATATATGTAGAAAAAATAATATAGAATAAGAATATATAAGAATAAAGAAATGAATATCTACATGCAGGCTCATAGAGCAGTGATGAACTCAGGGCCTGAAGATTTGCAAATATTTCCGCAAGGACCCTCACAGCTGTTTGTATGTTTTGCTGGTATCGCTAATCAGAACAGATGTTTTCCAGGCTTAGACAGGACATCAGATCTCTCAGCCAGTGCGAGTGGGTCGGGACAGAAGGATGTTGAATTTATCAACTTAAATATTGAATCTCACATATCCTCAGACAGGCTTAAGTCCTGCTCACAAGCAGTTTAATGCCTGACAATCGAAGGGCCTTTAATGCCCACCAGCATGTGACAGATAGCAGATATTAACCCTTTCTGAGTTGGACGCAAAGTTAGGAACATATCTGCCGTCTTCAAAGTACCTCAGGAAAGTTCGACATCTAAGACTGAAGAAAGTGTCTAATCTGAAGACATCTGAATAAATGTGAATTTTCAGAGAGTTTCATAAAAGATGCAAAGTTATTATCAGTGAATAAATCATTAAAGCACCTAGTGCTCCGTCCACGCCAATCTTGAAATACAGGATTGCTTGTAGATGGTTAGAAAGGGTCATTTGATGCGATTGGACTCAAACAAGACAAATCAGTCAGACAGAAGTGTTTTGTCATCTGAGCCCATATCCTCACAGTGTGCCAGACCAGCGGATTATCAGATGGCTGTGGAGTGGAGATCCAACTACTGCCGAGACAGATGCATCTTTAACATAATTTAACTCCACCGGCACCCAGGACGCTGAATTGTCCCAATTTTGAAAATGAAACCAAAATATGCTGATCATATGTTAGCTACCCACAAACTAGCAACATAACAATGATTAAAAATGAAAATGTGCCATCATCTTACAGTGACCAAAAGCTAGGGACCACAGCAAGTCTTCCAGGTCCCGATGCAACAAAACAGCCCCACCACCATCTTTTACTGCTGCTATGTCCCTTTTCTGAAACGCTGTATTATGCAGTGTGACACACGCCTTCCAAAAAGTTCAACTTTTGTCTCGTGAGTCCACAAAGTTACCTTTGCTACTGGTCCTGGCTACTTGCAGCAGATGGCCCCGCCCCTCCCTGAGCCTGATTCTGCCCGAGGTTTCTTCCTGTTAAAAGGGAGTTTTTCCTTCCCACTGTCGCCAAAGTGCTGCTCATAGGGGGTCATATGATTGTTGTCTGCATGTATTATTGTAGGGTCTACCTTACAATATAAAGCCCCTTGAGGTGACTGTTGTTGTGATTTGGTGCCATATAAATCAAATTGAATTGAATTGAAAGTATTTTCCCACTTTCCACACAGGGCTGTGCAGGGTTGGATTTCTTCCCCTTTAATAATAATAACCTTTCATTTAGAAATTTAGAAACATTTAAGTGTTACTAACAGAAAGGAGGCAAACATTTCAAAGTGTAGCACCAGAAATCCAACAGCATGTGTAGAATGTACTTACCCTGTGAGTACAGCAGAATCTGCATCTCCAGCAAGGTGCAGGTGAACACCTGGACCAGGTTTTCCACGCCTAGCAGAGAAAAGGCCTCTGCCAGGGGGAAGTCGGCCAGGGGAAGCTCTCCTGGTCCCGGCCTTTGGCAGACAATGGGTTCGTATATGCCGTGGAATTTGAGTGAACGCCCCAGAGCAGGCAGCGGCACCTCGTACAGGATGTTGTAAACGTAGCTCTCCAGTGGCAAGGGGGGTGCGGTTGCAGCTATAACAGCAGAGTGCATCTGTGCAAGGAAGCGCCGGCAGGCGTGCATGAAGGGCATAGGCGTGATCAGACACAAGGCTTTGGACACATAGAGCGTGTCCCGTGACGAGTCATAGCTCCCCGCTGCACGAGATAAAGATGATGAGGATGATGAGGTGGGGGAGTAACCATCATCTAAACTGCTGGCTAGTGAGTCCATGCTGGAGGAAGAAGAGGAGGAGGAAGAAGCGGCATTTGTTTGCTCGGCATTGTGCATCTGGTAGAGAGTCTGCATGGCAGAGCAGATCTGTGGGCTGGTCACCTCCTCATAAAAGGTGTGAACGAAACCATATGTTCGAGATCCATCCTCCTTGGTGATGATGAAGGAGTGGAACTGAGGCTCGCGCTGGTCTGCCTGTGTCCTGAATGACAAACCTTTGGGCATACAGAGCTGCGGAGAGAAAGGGTAAACAGAAGTCATCGTGTCAGTTCTGATTCACTCACGCTGGAATCTTTTTATGTGTCCATAATCTTTCACTTTTCCAGATCTCATAGGATTTTCAAACACCGGTAAAAATGCTGCTTACATTTAATTCTACAGCTGAAAATCTTACAAGAAAAAGGCAGCGATTCTCTGCATGACCATTCTCAAATTTGAATTTCTGCGGTTTTATGCTTTTGTTTTCCATTTTATTGTTATAATGAGTTCAATAAGGAAGATCTATGGCCTCACATTTGTCCGCTCCAAGGTGCTGCCGGCTAAATCTGAGCTTCATCACTTCCATTCATGCCACGTACTCTCACTGCGTCTTTGTGCAACCCACCTCCTCCCCATCTCATCACTCAAGCTCCATTCAAGCCACCTTCATCTCCACCAACGGCGTCTAGGCTCCAGGGGGTCCTCCCCTAATCCTTTTTACAGCTGGGGTTCTGTTTTGCCGAGACAGACCATCGGAGTATTCTGTGATTCTTTCTAATGATCTGTCCTTATTGAACTCATTTGTTTGTTGCTGTGACAAAACAAAATACCTGAATATGTTAACTACGGCACTGAGGAAGTCTTTCATGGCGTCTTATACCACACATCCACTATTTTCAAGAAATGAGGAGAAAATTAATTATTAAATAAATTTGCTAACTCTCTATAGCAATCACGTGTCATATGATTACTTGATCACTTGTTGCTTTCACAGCCAACCTAAATCAGTTACTGCCATCATCAGGTTTACTTGGCTGCTGAGACGAAGGACACACTGTGGAGACAAGTCTCAAGTCACCATGTCCATGCATGTGTACATGCACACAAACTGTTATCCACAATAATTGTTTTGACGATTTGTTGACATTTTGAATTCTCTTCCTTATTGTGCTCTGTGCTGACGGCATCTAAACAAATATTTAGGCCTGATTGGATTATCCATGGCTCTTAATGAGCAGTTCAGTCAGCAATGAAAGATAATGATATAAATTATGACATCTGGCAAGTCTTGTCTCAAATAAGCATTAACCAGGCTTCAGTACAAGCCTGCAGAATGAACCAGGAAGCAGTAACGATCATCTAACTACGTGAGTGAGGAGCAACACAGGAGACACCGGTGCAGGGTGGCTGTTCATGTAGGAGCCAATATACTTATGAGCTCCACGATGTAGCAGTTAAAGGACAAAACAACCAAATTTAAATGTCTTCCTGGTTATAATACTGATGTGAAAAAGAAATGAGGACAGCAGCAGTTCAACCTATGTGCATGGTTTATTGTTTATGGTACAGGAAAACTGCTGCTCACAGACTGCAACACATCAGAGATCTAGTATGTAAAATGTGGTTTAACTTAAAGAGCAAGAATGGGAATATATACACTAGTATATTAGTATATATGTATACTAGTATATATATTAGTGTAATGTAAAGTTTTGAAAAGTGTGCGATTTCTGTGCCTGCAGAACATGGGCTAATACTCATTTGGTTGTATTTATTCTCTTTACTGACAGGACCATATTCACAAGAAGTGGGCAAACCTCCCTGCCATTTACAAATATATGATTTTCCCTCCCAGCAGAAACCTAAAGAGGAGGAGATTAGATTCCACAGACGGTGAGACGGTAATAAGATGAAGAGATGATGGAGGTATGTAGGTAGAAGAGGAGATTTAAGGCTATAATGATAATGATTTAAAGAGCTGTAATGATCAGAAAACATGGGAAAAGAAAGAATGATATTTCTGTCATTAAATGCCCTTGACATGGCATCATCAGGTTTCAGCTGCTGCACTGCTGCATAATGGACTGTTTCCATGTCAATGTAAGGAGAGATGCGCGGCTGAATTATTTAAAAGATGTGGTGCTGGGTGAGGTGGAAAACAAGGTGTGTACTCTTTATCCACACGGAGAGTATACGCCTTTGTTTCCATCACGAACACTGTGCTGGTCATGTCTCCTTCATTCCTGTCCTGCTGTCACATGTGGTCCATCTCTGCTGTCTAGGACTACAGTTGGAGATGGTAGGATTTCTTCTGCTCGCAGCAGGTGGAGAACTAGCTGACGGCCCAGTACGATGGGCTCACCTATGCTTCAGAGCAGAGCAGGGACTGCCATCATCAAGTTTACTTTTGCATATAAAATGAGAGATTCACTCAAAAGGCAGCTGATTACACTACTTAGTAATTTATTTATATCAGGGGTGCTCAATCCCAGTCCTCGAGAGCTACTGTCCTGCAGCTTTTAGATGTATCCTTGTTCCGACACAGCTGAATCAAATGAATGGCTTGTTATCAGGCCTTTTCCAAACTTGATGGCATGCTGAAGAGGTAATCAAACATTTGATTCAGCTGTGTTGGTGTAGGGATGCATCTAAAAGCTGCAGGACAGTAGCTCTCGAGGACTGGGATTGAGCACCCCTGATTTATATGAAAGCACTTTAAAAATATTTTATTTGCAGAGTAGAAACTCCCTTTAAGGCACATATTTGCATGTGTGCGCATCACCTTTGCCACAGGTAGAATGTAAAGCTATATATTCAGTACATAGCCTGTCCCTTTTAACTGTTGTGTTGCTATAGATCTTCCTAGATGTCTAAACTTAAAAATCTATTATTTCTTCATCTACATGTGATTCGTATCTGTTCATATATGTCTGGTATCTCTATCCCAAATACTGTTTGGCAGTGTGGAACTCTTCTCTTGACAAGATTTTAAAAGACCTAAATCAAAACCATAACTCTGCCACTGTCAGTACAGCTTTAAATGTAAAACTTTTTGGAGGGGATTTGTATTAATTGCTTTGTTACCCACAATTCCTTGAGGCCCAACTGTGTTTTAAATCAAAGCCTCAAAAGCTTCTTCCTCTGTCTCTGGCCAAAACCACTAATCTGCCCCATTTCCTCTAGAAATGATCCCATTGGGCTCTTCCCGCCGTACTTTTGATAGAATCCATAGCCTCCTTTATCCTCTGCCTATCATTTCTCCAGAAATCACAGTCCACATACCATGTTAACAGCATCCTGGTCGAATGGGTTCCACTCCACATTTTCTGGATAACGTGCAAGAACTTTGGACTTGAATGTCCTCTTCAGGGGACTCTGCTCAAAGTTTTCACCTGGACAAATGAGAAAGGGAAAATAAAAAGGTAATAATGCATCAACAAACAAAAAATCAAACAACTTGGGCCTGAAGCTGCAGAGTCATGCTCCAGATCAGCTGAGCTCAATGCCAGCCCACCTCAGTTTTAGCTAAACGGATACCCGTTTGGCGTGCTGTTCACAAATAGCAGGATACTGTTTGCTGGTGACTCTGTAGGATGCTTCCCCATGCTTTTTCTGACTTAAGCAATGCCATATCTGTTATATTAATGCCTACTTTGTTCTGTGAGGGCTATTGCTGCTAAACTCGATGTTTGTCTGGTGTGCTTGTCATGTATGCAGGTGAAAACGCAGAGATGGGTTCTTTCCCCTCTTTAGAATTTGCAAGAAGGTCTTGGGAGGTTCCAGAAAATAGGCATATGATTTTACAAACACATTACTCCAAATAAAATATCAATCCTAGTTTGAAAAGTGGTCCTGACACAGTTCCAATTATGTTGGACATGAGATACAGAAGTAGAACATAAAGCTTAGCAGAATCAGTAGCACTGGCTCAGTAAACCAAATGGACAGAATATCTCTGTGAGCGACTGAACTGCAAAGCAGATAACACCAAGTTCACACTTGTGCACCTGGAAGCTCTGCATTGAGCTTTCCTGAAGATGCAATCAAAGATGTTTTCAAAGAGATTATTAAATACTATATAATAGAAAAAACAACACCATTCAAGTGGTTCATAAAGGAAAACAATATATGAAAAACCTCAAATAGAAATAACTGTTCTCAATTCTGGCTAGCTGAGCCCAGTTCCAGTTAACTCAGTTCATTCACAAAGAAAAAAAATCTCTATATTTTGGTAATCCTCTGTCAATTCAAGTCTACATCATAGAATGTAAAATACCCCACTTTGGGTTTTTAATCCACGAAGAGAACCCAAAAGAAGGAAATCAAAATCCCAAAAGGTTGATTCAGTTTATCTGGATGTAGCGTTTTCACTGGGAGAAACGTTTAGTCAGTCATCCAAGGGAATTCTTCAAACATCTCCCAGGGCCTCGTCACTAGGCTTTGTAGCAGTTTTCCCGCCACCTTACGGGTTTCTGGCTGACATGAGACTTTTGTACATACTTTTTCGAATCCAAACCTATTCCTGGCCAGTATACCAATGTTTGCATCCTTTATTAGGCTTTGTATCTGCCAAAGTGGCCAAATGTAGGGTCATCAACTAACAACTGTAGAAGGGTTTCCCAGAGACAATCTGGTATGCAAACCTGAAGCTGTAAGACTCTGTAGACATTGTCTTCCAGGATGGTGAACTTGGTAGCCTCAGTCACAGTGAGATTCCCATCATGTATTTTAGCATCTTGGTAAATCTTTTGTATTTTTGCATCATTCTGGTTTGCTCTCCATATGTCCTCATCTGATAATGAAATGTGCTTGCGAGGTTCCCCTTTAACAGATAATATGCTGGCAACCTGGATACTCCATTGCTGGCAGGGTCACTAGGGGCTCTGGATAAAGCATTTAGCAGTGTTATATTTTACTGTACTCACCTGTAAAGGTGAACTTCTGCAGATACAGGATCCAGGAAGTGACTGTGCAGATCCCTTTTAGGTTTTGAACACCCAAACCAAGGAGGAGTGATCAGGTATCTCCATTTCTTGAATGCCCACACTACAGTTAGCACTCATTTTCTGTAGTGGAATAAATGCAGGCCATAGGCCAGAATTTCTCTGCATAATCTACTTTGTTTGCACAAACACAACTCCAAAGTCCAACATCACTGGGATCTGTATACACCACAAAGGTTAGGTCAGGGTTGGGATGGCCTGAGATATCAGACATCAAAGGAATGCTGACATTCTGGAGTCCAATGGACTTTGGGTCCTTTTCACTTCAGTGGCTCAGCAATCTGAGAGATACCAAACCTGTGATACCAGCCTGCCATTTCTAATAGCTGGCTTTTTTCATCTTAACAGTGAGTTTTGTCTGCCTTAATTTGTCTAATACAGCCCAAAGATGAAAAAATGCTGTTCTCAGGTTGGAGAATAGATCAAAAAATCATCTAAGTACAAAAAGCAGGTCCAACCTCTGAGATCACCCAATGTTATCTCCATCAGCCTCTGGAAACCAGCTGACTCGTTCCTCATTTTGAAGGCATAACTTTGAACTGGGAAAGGCTAAAGGGACAGGTGAACACTGTTTTGTCAATGCCTGGACACCTCCTGGGTAACAAAGGAGTTTATTAGTGAGCACTTCTGTGCATCCCAGTCTTCACATGCATACATCCCTGTTTTTATTAAGTTAACAAAAGAAGTGTCTCTTTTACCACTGCTTCCAGTTGGGAGACCTCAACTGCTCTTGGCAGGAGCTCTGCGTCAATGTTACTCTACTCTAATAGAAGCCCTTAGCCCTTACTCCCTATCCCCAATCACCAGGTATGTCCAAACTTCCTCCAAAATCAAACCTTTTCTTCTAAGCCAAACCTGGTGATTTTTACTCATCCCAGTAGGATATGCCTGGCACACCTCACTCAGGAGGTCCCCAGGGGTCATCATTGTCAAATGCCCAACAAGACTCTAAGATTCCAGCTGAGGCAGCAACTTGTCCTTTATCCAGAGTGGGCACTTAACTCTTTTCTGGTTGAACCATAGTCTGAAACTTGGAGGTGCCAATTCTTACTGATGCTGCTTCATACTCACTTGGCTTTGTCTAGAAATTCTGTCCATAAAAATTTTGAAAAGAAGGTGGAGTCTACTACCCACCAGGAATGAGTCTGACTCGCAGTGTGAACCAAGTTCAATAGCTGTGCAAGGACTGAAAGGTTCGTAGCAACAGGCCGGACACTCCATACTCCTGAAGCATCTCAGACAGAATGCTCAGAGGGACATGCTCGAATGTCTTCTCCAAGTCCATAACATACATGTAGACCGGTCACCTTGTTTCCACACACATTTCAATATCCTCAAGAGGATAAAGAGCTGGTCCTGCATTCTGTGACCAGGACGAAAACTGTGTTTTTCTGCCTGAATCCTAATTCGACTAACAGACAGACTCTTCTTTCCTTTAGCCTGATGTAGACCATCCCATTGAGGCTGCACCTGAGAGCACTGTCTCCAGTCTCACTGCTTAAAGATGGAACCTAACATCCCAGTCTGTCAGTCCAGAGGCACTGCCCCACGTTTCCAGGTGACACTGCAGAGGCATGTCAACCAAAACAGCCCTACAACATCCAGGGCCTTAAAGACCATGGCTACCTCACCCCAGGGACCCTACCACCAACAAGCTGTCTAGTGACCACCCAGACTCTGCTTTTTCTATAGAAGACATTCTTCTATAGATTAAGGAGGCTCGACTATATCCTCATTTGAGGTCAGTAGCACCTCACGCCATGTACCATGTAAATAGAGCGCCGTTTTCCTCTCCCAAGTCACCTGACTGTTTGCCAAAATTGCTTTGAGACAGATCAAAGTCTTTTTCTTTTCCCATAACAAAGTCTTCCTACACCCAAGTTTTTTTCCAGTGACTGCCTGAGCTGTGTTCCACTTGGACTGCAGGAGCCTGCCAGCTGCCTCCAAAATCTTACAAGCTAACCAAGCCCGATAGGACTCTTTCTTCTGCTTGATGGTGCCCTTCACCAGATGTGAAGGGCACCATCAAGCCTGAAGCCAAAGCATTTAAGAGTGCTCTCATGGGTACTGCAATATACTCGCTATTGTGCATCAGGGATAACATTTACAACAATCACTAAAGCAACATCTAATATACAAAGGAGAGAAACTTGGAAAAAACTGGCCCATTCTGCTCTCTCATACCTATAGACCAGGGGTAGGGAACTCCAGGCCTCGAGGGCCGGTGTCCTGCAGGTTTTAGATCTCACCCTGGGTCAACACACCTGAATCAAGTGATTAGTTCATTACCAGGCCTCTGGAGAACTTCAGGACATAATAAGGAAGGTAATTTAGCCATTTAAATCAGCTGTGTTGGATCAAGGACACGTCTAAAAGCTGCAGGACACCGGCCCTCGACACCTGTGCTATAGACATTTGACTGTCTACCCCAGGAGATAACTGCTTTACTATAAGGCTGTCACCTCTAAGGCAGAAGAGAAGAGAAGTCAGGCATAAGCACAATACCTAAAAAAATCCCAAATAAACTAGCCCGCTTTAGTCATGAAGACAAGAGGGGCTGATTTGGATAACAAGTTCAAATGAGCTGACCTACATTCAGCATTGTCAGTTGTAGAATGCAGACAGGAAATGAGAGACAGCGACTGGCTAAGAGGATGAAATGGATTGAAGACTGTAATCCACATGGAGGTGGTGAGGTGATCCACGGGGATCTACAAAGCACGGGAATGTTGGCCTAACACAAACAGATAGGGACTGACATGATTTCTCTATCCCCAAAAGGGCCAAAAGTTTAATTTGAAGCTAAATATGCGGTACGATGCGCCCTGTGCTATGTGGAGAATTTCATGCTGGCCTTTAAACTCCCTAGAGCTGGTAAATAATATTAACCTAAAACTAAAACTGTGAAAAGATTTAATGGACATAATCATGAATATGGTTTACATAATAAACACATTTCCTTAGTTCTATTCAGATGTGTTTAATTGCAAAGAGAAACTCATCATAATTCAGGAAACACAGTGAAGTATGAACAGATGTGCAGAAAGACCAATTCAAACATGCAAACAGGTTTTATAGCTAACGCTGTTAGCATGATATTGCTGATAAGTAACAACTGGTATAATAAGTGGAACTTGCTATACTGAGTTTTCATTCCATGAGTAAAGGTAGTAAACTGGTGAAAGGGACTGTTTGGATCACAGCATTATATGAAGAACATATACAATAATACAAAACAAGTGTCATCTCATCTCACACGTAATTTTTTGGGAGCTGCAAAAAAATCAGACTGCAAACAAAGAACATTACTTTGCAAAATATGCTACAAATCTGTTTGAACTAAAGGTAGAAACAAGCTGCTTGGATGGAAATTACTGGTGCAACTGCATGAAAAAGCAGGGCTTTAAACAAGTGGTTAAAAACTTAACCCAAGATACAACATACCAGCAAGATTCTTTTTCAAATTTCTAATTAGTTTAAATTTACTTATTTATTCTCTAATTTATTTGTTCTCTAATTTCCTATGTGACAATATCGTGCAGGCTCCCAAAGTTACACAGTAAGGGTACTTTAGTTCTTGTTTTTGTTAAACTAAAGTGTTAAGCAGTAATGTCATAGTTTTATTTAAACATTTCGATGGAAAACAGAACCTAGGCTATTTTGACTTATCCCATGTGACGGCGTATACTCTGCCGCTGGCACTGTTTGGTAATCAGTTCATACTTCATATTAGATAATCTGTCATCAGTGAGCTCTTTGGAAAATAGCTGATTGATGACATCAATAAATGCTGCTGCCTGCAATCACTGAAATTAACAATTTTTAAAAACATAATTTTGAGGCTATATCACCCACACCTAGTTTATCTAAATATATTTATATAAAATATTTATTTTAATATACAACAGTCCAGTTTATTTTCCTCATAAGGAAGTTGCTGAAAATTAATACTACATGCAGGGGTGCACATAAGTGGTCCGCTGGCATTTGTTTGAAGCCAGCTCACCTCCTGCAACCACTTTTCCAAGAATACGTGCTTCTTTTGCAGTTCGGACTCCTCCTGACGTTTCTTTGGAGGTGGAGGAACACCAAAGTAAAGGAGCTTCTTCGACATCTTTAAGAGCTCTAAACAAATGTCTGTCCTCCTCCAGAAAATCGTATGTATGCAAACGCGCGTTGCAACTTCTTATCTGGTGCGCGTCTTTTATTTTGACAGCACATGCGCACCTACGGACCACTGACTATATGTAGGGGTTGACATCACACACACTTAGAGAGCAGTTGAGTGAGAACAAAGCTGGCTTGCAGGAAAATAATGTGAAGTGTAAGCTCAGAATCGAGGAGTACAGGCAGTGTGTTTTACCTGCAGATGCAGTATCTGGATCCCTGCCTTGGCGGTCTGCTTCTAGCCACCGGTGCAAAGCTAGAGGTGAACCACATGCAGCAAGACATGGAGCAAAAAACACAGAAAAAGAGCGCAATGTCATAATAAATGGACACAGAAAAGCAAATTAAATGCATGAAAATGAGGTAAGCATGAACATGACACAATAGATGATAGCATGCCATTAAGGATGCAACACACATGCTTCAAATGGAAGCGGTAACATTGTAAAACGACACTTTTTTCCTAATAAGGACTCGAACATTACAAAACAGAAACAAGAGATTCAACTAAAATGCTTAGATTCATGTTAGTGACCTCTTTTTGAAGCTGTCGGTGAAACTCGAGGTTCAGGGCAAGTGAGTAACACATTCTTTGGAGTCAAACCAAGCAGCATATCCAAAACACAACTACAGAAGCAGCAAGTGTACCATATTTATATTGCAGTCAAATAACTTTACCAGTTTCACATAGAAGAGACCACAGAGATGACAGTTCATATCTGTAATGTAAATTTGACAGCGTATAAAAGTGACTGTCTGTTTAAGTGTTTTTCCCAAGAATTCTAAAGAGTGAAGTAGCGCCGATAGACGTGGTTAGTTGTTGTTGATTTACAAAAAGTGTCGCAGTAATTTATTTCAGTTTTGGGTATATTTGGTGCTACAGATAGAGGACATAGAACATTAAGGAAAAGCTACAAAAACATAATCACTTTGACTACACTGCTTGCGCGCTGAAGGATATTGTTGCATTGGAAGTCACAAAAGCCACCCAAAGCGGCTCTGTGGTTCAGTGACCTGACACAATTTATACAGCTGGAGAAAATAAAGTATACTCTCAAGGGCTCGAAGGAGAGATTCTTTGCCGTTTGGGATAATTTGCTAAAACATTTAGAGAAAATTAAAACCATTCCCATCTGATACTCACTTGGCAGCCACCGTATACCCTTATTGTTGTGAAGGCGATTCATTTTGTGCAAACTATTGCCTTTTAAGTGCACATCTTTATATATGGTGAATGTTGATGTACCTCATTTAAATTTATTTTATTTTTTTATTTATTTATTTATTTTCCTGTCTCTCTGGATTGTGTCCAATATGTTCTTTGGGTGGGGTACATATATAAAAAGGAGCATTGTGACTTTGTTACGCGTATATCTTTGAATTA